GAGCTGAAAGCGGTAAGACGATGCGCCTCCAAGCCCCAAGCTCATGAAAGAGATCGGAGAAGAAAATCGCCCGACGGACACAACTCGCGTGAAGACCACGTTGCCAACTTGGCTCCAGCCACTGTGCTGTAGCACAGCATGCGTAGTTATTCGCCATGCTGGGAGTTCATGAAACCCCCGCGCCAGCCATGGAGCTGTAGCGCCGCACGAGACACATACATTCCGTGCCACACCGGCCATTGCCGAGTTGTGAGGCCATGATGCCAGACCAGCCATAGCGCTGTCTGGTTGAAAAGCCGTACTAGAAGGCCACAGTGCCTTGTGCTCTACGTACATGTACGCGTACACGTACACATACACGTACACGTACACGTACACATACACGTACATGCATTTGATGATGTACAAGTACATGTAGTACATATTTAAGGCGAAGAACTAAATACCGCCCTCACGCACCAGCAGCATTGCTGTAGTGTCACGCCATACTGGGAGGCCAAATGCCCCACTTGCGAGCTATAAAGCTGTGCAAAAATTATTCCAGCTACAAGCTGTGTATTTACTACTAGTATATGTGTACTTAATGAAATACCATTTTAAATATGTGCATCTCGAGCTACAAGGAGGAATGGCACAGCTAAAACCTCGCTTAATGCAAAGCTGCAGCAGTCTACTAAATGCAGATCTACGGCTTGTTGAGAACAGGTAATCCACTACATTTTGGACCTGTAAAATAAAAATATACCTTAAAAAAAACAAGAAAGAGATAAAATAAAAATGGGCAATTGTCCATACAAACATGTGTCTGGTATTTAACCAAGTTAAGAAATACGCCCAGAAATGTATGAAACTGGGAGGCAACAACGCCAAAACAATTCATTCAATTCGCCAAACTTAAAAAAAAAAATTATTGCGGCAAAAGTTTCAAACATTTCCAGCATAAAGAAAAAATCTTCAATACTTTATGACTTTAAGACAAGCCTACACAAGCCTCTGTCTACAGAAAGCAACTATAGTTTTACTGCATTAGTTTCATTTTCAATGGAATCGATAGTTTACAAACCTATTGCTTGCACTTGCGAAGTATAAACAAAATAAAAATCTTCGAAATGAGAAACAACTCCATGAGCCTCTAGGGAGAAAAATAGCCCCAACGATGAGAGCCTGCAAACAAGATGCGTACACTACCGATGACACTGTTAGATGTTTTTATGCTTTGAAAGCTGTAGCCTTTCTTCAAAAATATTTGAAAACTATAAGCTCTCAATAATAATAGTCAGAACAAATTGAAAATGACTGCAGCACCTATATCAACCATTTCATGAAACTGGGAGGCAATTCGATAAGACCTCAGCAGCGAAAAACAAAAAACAAACCACACATTGTATAGAAATATCCACATATTAAAGAGCAAAACAATGGCAGTTTAAGAAATGAACAAAGCTAAAACGCTTACACAAAATATATAAAGATAAATACGGTGATCAGGTGTATCCTCGAAGGTTTCCTGAGTAGCCAACAACAAAAGGTTTTCCTGAGGTAGCTTCTACAAATTCGTAAAGCTAAAACGATAACAGCAACAATTCAGCGAACAGGTTTTGATCCTTAAAATTAAAGGTTTCCCTGAAGTAGCTGCTACAAATTCGTATAACTAAAACGATAGCAACAACAATCACTACGGTGAACAGGTTTAATCCTCTAAGGTTTTCCTGAGTAGCCAAAATAACAATGAAAACAAGAAATCAGCACAGTTATTGCCAAACAAAACAGCATGAGGCGACAAATCTGACAATGAAAGTCAAAGGAAAAAGATCATCAATATCAAAACAAGATCTACTTCTTGTAAATGCTCATGTACGTACAGGACTGTTATAACAGCCACCTGTGGTAACTATCCGACAGATAGAGCATCATACACATTCCTCGATGTGGGAGGCTGTCGAAGTAAGCATCTCCGATGTGATGATGACTATCTAGTGAAATATAACTGTACTATTTCAAATAGAGAAATTGTAATCGAAGGTAACTGCTTTGGGGCAGCCATTGTAATGAGATGCACGGCGATAGTAGGGTCCATCCGAGTCCACCACATGCTCTTCTTCTTTTACCAAGTCCACCACAAGCGTCTTCTCCTTCTACACTCAAGACTTCCTCTTCACTATGGCCGCCTAATCCTCTCTACCTTTGTCCTCATTCAGTTCTGTACTGCCCTAACAACTCTGCGCAAATCATTCCTTCAACACAAATGGGACTACAGTACTGTACTACAGTATCCGGGTTCCCGGATTCCCTCAACGACTCAACTGTTCAACAAGAAGATGATTATCTTAATGAACGGTACATGTATCTGTGTCCGCCTTGCACTGTGGCGTCAACAATAAACATGAGAGTGGGCTTCACAGTGTGAAGTGAGTGCAGCGCGATAGTCGACATTGCAGACTTGAGCAGCTTTGTGTTGGGATGCGTCCAGGGTTCAACACACTCAAAGGTTTGTTAACTGGAGACGGTATTATTAAGTGAATTCATACTCGTCCTCGTGGACAATCCTAGCGACTCTTTCTGCTTTTTTACACTTGAAGCAGCATCTTGAGGCAGTTCTTGGTCGCTATGCTCACGTCGCGATGCACCGCACGCACTCGGATGCGGTAGGCGTTGCCGTCGCTGGCCTCCAGTCGCACCAGGCAGCCAACCGAGAGTTTGTCGCCATTCGGACCCATTGCTCCGGTGCGGAAGGTGGCGGCGCCTGACACACTACCGCTGGCCTGCGAGTCCAGCCCGTCGATCATCGCGAACTTCAGGTTCGTGCCGAGCCACTCCGGTGCCTGTGTCATGTCCAGTTTGCTGGCCGCCGGCACCACCTCCTGCTGTTCGCGATCTTGTCCTTCGAGCGCATTCCAGCGCTGCAAGAAGGCGTCCTCGTTGACTGCCACGGGCTCCATGAAGCTCGTCGCCTGACAAGGCAACGCCACGCGATACGAGTAGCTCGTGCCGTTGCGTGAGAAGTTCACCGTCATCGTCGGCGGCTCTGTGAACGGCGCCATCGCCTCGATCATGATCTGCTGTTTAGCTTGCTGTTTGCCTTCCAGCTGAGACGGCAGTTCTTCGGCTTGAACCCGGAAGAAGTTGCCCGTCGCGAGCTGTACCGAGAAGCCGCTGAGTGTGTCGGCTGTTTTGTTGCCGTAGAACAAGTTAATCCGACCCTGCGAGCCGCGGTATTCGTGCTTAGCGCCAACCTGCAGCACGTCCGTCTCGACCAGTACGCCTTGCGGATTCAGCATGAGGTTCCGTGCCCAGACGGCGACCTGCGGTGTCAAGGAGGCATCGAGACCCACAGATTTGCCACCACTCGAGCCGCCGAAAATGTCGCCCAGGTCTGTGGACGCCGGGTTCGGTCCACGGATCGCGTCCTGACCGGCCATGCCGAAGACCGACGAGATCTTGGGGACTATAGGTTCGTCCAGAGACAGCAAGTCGACAGCGCCGTCTATTGCCGGTTGTTCGCTGGCACGTGCCTGCGCACGGGGAGAAACAGCTCCTTCTTCGGGTAGGACCGCCCCGTCACCGCCGGCTGCAGCTTTCTGCTGGTTACGCAGACGGACGATGAGTCCGGACTCGCGGTTCTCCGGGAACACCGGCATGGGTTCCAAGACAGCGCGTAGAACTTCTTCGCCGTTAGGAGCGCTCTGACACAGCTGACGTAGCGCCAAGTATTCGCACGCGCGTTGCTGAATCTCCAGATTCATGTTACTAGCTGCCTTTGCGAGCACACCATGCACTGTGGGGCGCAGTTCTTCGTACAGGTTGTCCATCTTGACAAAGGCCGTCAGTAGCACGCCTTTGGTAGGCACGGATGCATCGACGTAGTGCTGGTGCAGCACCTCGAACTGACGCGTGCCGCTCATGCTGGCGTCGTCACACAGCAGATACCCGAACTCGCCCAGCACGTACGCGCCGAACTTGGTCGTCGTCTCGTCCACATAACGAGGCTCCATGGCCTTGAACATTTGCTCGGCTGCGTATCGCTGCAATTCCTCGCGGTTGGTGACGATCTGCACCACGCGGTGCCACACGGCGTCGGGTACTTCACTGCCGGCGATGGTCAGTAATTGAAGCACCGTATCCACGTACCAGCGCAGGTCGCGCGCGTACTTCTCGGCCAAAATGGCTGCCTTCAGTACGATCTCCTCGCGGATGCCGCTAACAGGTCCAGTGGTCGGAACGGTGCTCACAGTGCGTTCGGCGACGGCCAAGTAGTTGACCAGCTCACCCACGATCTCCTGGGCGTTGGTCGCGTCGCACATGGCGAACAACAAGTCCAGTGCACGCCGGCGTACGGACGGATCGGCGTCTTTAAGGGAGAAGAGCACAGTCTCTTGGTGCTGCTTGACACTGGTGCCGTCGCCGTCGAGCCGCACCATGCGGTACATCGAGTCCAAACCGACGTAGCGGATGTTGGGCTCCGTGACGGAGATGAAGCGAGCCAACAACGCGACAGCCTGTTCGCGTAACTTGTACGCGGGACTCTCCGTGTCGCCACCCGGTTTGCCACGAGCGATGACAAGATTCACAGCTTCGATCAGCACAGAGTACGCCGCGTTGTTCTTAGCGCTCTTGCCGGGCGGTGTACGGGCCAGCACCCGGTGCAACGTTTCGTTCAGCATATTGTTCAGCCGGCCGTCAGCCGAGTCGGCATCCAACGCACCGTTCGCGTGGAACTGCTGCAAGATGCGAAGCAACTTGACCTGTAGCCACGGACACGGCGTGTTGTAGTACATGTAGTCGCGCGGACAGTTCTTGTGCGTGACCAGGGCGTTGAGGCGGTGGATGCAAGGCTCAATCAGCGACCGGAAGGCCGTCGGGTGGAGCGACAGTGACGTCTGCAACAGACCCGCGGCCGACGTGACGACTCCCAAATGGGTCTCGCCCACGAGATCATTCAACCGGTTCTCCATGTCTTCGACCGGCAACAGCTCTGGGTTGTCCGGTAGCAGGCGACGCGCGCACAGCGCCGCTTTCTTGCGGACGTGAGCGATACTGGCCGAGCTGGTTAGCAACCCGGCCACGTCGGGCCCCATGGTCTCGCTGAGGTCGGCGCCGCCCAGGTTGGCCACGCAGCACAAGGCGAGACACTGAGAACTGGCCTCGCGCGACTTGAGGTCGTTGCGGATCGAGTTGATGACGAGCGTCATGAGCTCGTCCGAGGCCTTCAACAAGATGGAGCAGCCCAAGTAGCCCAGACACTTTTCCGAGTATTTGGACCCGGACACGAGACTGATGATCTGCACATGGCCAAAGTCCACGTCGTAGCCCAACATGTAGATGTAGATGAGCTTCCACGCGTACTTCTTGCGGTCGTACGACTGCAGTGCCGGGCCGCCACTTCCGAGACCCGAATTGCTCGCGGTCTGCGTAAACTTCTGTCGAATCTTGCCCAGCTCCTTGTCCACGCGCTTCTGCTCTTCCTCACGCGACGTGCACGCGCGCAGCTCACTGATAAAGTTGTTGAGCCCGCGGGCACTGAACATGGCCATGGTGCCGCTAATTCCTCTCCTCTCTGCTGCTCGGGCGTCTTCTTTTTAAGAGTGAGCGAGCAGTCGCACCACGGCCGGCGGGGGTTTCACTAGATAAGCTAAAGTTGAAGCGGTTGTAGACCGCACAGTCCGACACCCCTCGCTTGGACTTGCCGGCACTACACAAAAGACACATAGACGACACCGTGCCGGTATTCAAGTGAGAGCAGTACGTGTATGTTGTGTAAATCATCTATCTACTCCGACCTCGAGGAGCTTACTTCTTGGCCACTTTCTTCTTACCCCGGGCCTTCTTCTTGGCCGGAGAAGCGGTCGTTTCTGCGGGCTTTGTGTCCTTCTTTACCTTCTTTGTCTGCTTCTTCGGGGTCTCCTCTGTCTCTTCCACCTTGGCCACCTTCTTGGTCTTCTTGGCCTTCGGTGTCTCCTCCACAGGGGTCTCCTGCTTCTTGTGCTTCTTGACCGCCGTCTTCTTGCTCTGTTTTGTGGTCTTGGCAGCCTCCTCCTCTTCTTCGGCCCCAGCAATAAACTCCTCGAGCTTCCGTTTCTTCAGGTTGGCGGTCTTGCCCACGGGCGGCAGTTTGGCCAGCGTGGCCAAGGCGTTGTACACGGGCAAGGCCACGGAGTCGGCGAGTTTGAGACTGATCGACTGCACGCCGTTCCATCCCTTGGGCACGAGGCTGGCGCAGTTGTTCATGGCCACCATGACATTGTCCACGATCTGCTCGGGCGTCATGTCCAGACGCGCCACTTTTACGTTGCAGCAGACGCCGGCACTGACGTGGAAGGCTGTGCGGCGCGCGGCGAGGCGGACGCTGTTGGCCACGTCCTTGCGAGACACGCGGACAGAAACGGGTTGTTTCTTCTTGACGAAGAATTTGTTACCGAGCGGGCCCTTAAGGTAGGGCAGCACACGGTCGTCGGCCAGAAACATATCGTAGGCGGCCGCAAGCGCACGCTTGTCCTCGAAGCGCGAGAAGTTCTTGCGCAGCTTCTTGACTGTCAGGACCTTGGTCAATCCCTGCACAGGGTCCTTGGCCAACGCCTCCTTAATGCGCTTTTTGTCCTCGTCCTTGACGAACAGGCAGATCTCGGCCGACTCATCGTACAGCGCGTGCGGCAACGTACTGCAATGAAAAAGCCCACAGCAACAGGTCAAAAATGCATGACCAACGTCGACCAGCACTGGTCACAAAGAGACAAGCGAGTATTACATTGGGATCGGCTTGAGAGACGCCTTGGCCGGCACCAGCTTGCGCGTCAAGATGCATGAGACGTAGTCGACGTCCTCCACAAGCGGCGCCTTCGACCGCTCCTCGTTCTTCTTGGCCGCGAATGTCCGCAGCGCTAGTACAGCGCGACGCACCTGCGCCTCGTCCAGCGGGTTACGCAGCCCCTTGCGGATCGTCACGTCGGCCATGGTCTCTATTGTCTAGCAATGCGACAGTAACTTGGCTGGCCACCAGAGCATTAACACTCGGGCGGCTGGCTGAGGCGGCTTGTCACGATAATTGGTTGATAATCAAGTCGTGAATGCTATCTATTGGTTGAAAACAAATTTCTTCCCTGGCTCTCTTATGTTGCGTTAATGTTGCATTAAAGCTTACGTTGCCTTTCACGAGAACCACACACAAATCCCTGACGTACTCGAGGGATCTTTTTCCGTCATTCGACAATCTCCGACGATGCAGGTCAAGGTGATCAAGACCGGCAAGCGCGCCAAGGACTACGGCCCCGTGGAGGTGGCGGGCTCGGCCCCTACCGTGGGGCAACTTAAGGTTGCTTTCGAGAAGCATGCGCGCGTGTCTCGCAACCGTCAGAGCCTCAAGTTGCAGCAGGATGGCGAAACTCTGGTGCCTCTAACGGACGACTCAAAGTTGCTGGTAGACTATGGCGTCAAGAGCGGCTCAACGCTCGTTTTCCGCGATCTCGGCCCGCAGATCGGCTACCGTACCGTATTCGTGGCCGAGTATCTGGGCCCGCTGCTCTTCGTATTGAGCTATGCGGCCCGTCCGGCCTTCATCTATGGAGCCGAGGCCGCGTCGCAGCCTTTAAGCAACACGGCGCTACTAGGCGTGGCCGCCTGGTCGCTGCACTTCCTTAAGCGCGAGCTCGAGACCTTCTTCGTGCACCGCTTCAGTCGCCCCACTATGCCTCTGCGTAACCTCTTTAAGAACTGTATCTACTACTGGTCGTTCGGTGCCGTCGTGGGCTATCCATTGTGTCACCCACTGTACGCTGGCCCCACATCGGATGTCCAGGTTAAGGCCGGTCTGGCGCTTATGGGCGTCTCCGAGTTCCTGAACCTCTGCGTGCACGTGCAGCTGCGTAACATGCGCCCGGCGGAGGGCTCCAAGGAGCGCCCCATCCCCAAAGGCCCGCTCTTCGCACTCGTGTCGTGCCCCAACTACACGTTCGAAGTGCTTGGATGGGTCGGTTTCTCCATCTTCACGCAGGTGGCCGCCAGCTACGTCTTCACCGTCGTAGGCTTCCTGCAGATGGCCGACTGGGCCCTCAAGAAACACCGCGGATACCTCATGACGTACGGCGACGAGTACAAGAAGCTGCGTCGCAAGTCCATCATCCCCTTTTTTCTATAGTGGGGTGGGTGCTGTAGTTTTCACGAATGAGAAGTATCAATTGTCCTCTTGAATCGTAAAACTTGCGTTGAAGAGCAACTTTCAATCGTCTGCATACTCAGACCCAGATTTTCCGAACGTTTGTATGGAATCAGTGGATCTGGGTAAACGGCCAACATTAAATGTAAAAAAAAAAAATTGTTTTAAACAAATTTTGTGGAGAATACACTACAGTATTATATTTGAAGAGCCGGAAGTACTATTACTAAAAAGCGTTTGTTTCTGATTCCTTTCAATATTAATACTATTTGCTGCTTTAGTCCGAATAAAAGCCCCCTTCCGAATAGTGTCCTGCGGGCCTGCACTATTAAATGCAAGCCTCTCCCGAATAGAGTCCTTTTACAAACTACTAGGGGTTATCACAGTTGGAAAGTAAGTATGTTTGGTTAGCCAATTAACATCCGTCAGCTGTGAGGGCCAAAATCGTGCAGAAAAGTGAAGCTGGAACAGTCGCGTATTCAAAACCAACCAAATCAAACCTTCTGACACGGTTTTCTACCAATTATAACTATCCTTCGCTGGCGGTTTGCAACCTTCCTCTTTTTCAAGGAAGGTCTGAGCTGAGAAAAACGGGACGCGAAGATTTGATTTGATTGGCCGGTCAAACATACTTTCTAATCTCTATTATTTCAAACTTACTGACCATTCCTTGTACAGAGAGGAACAATTTTCCGGTAACAGGCCGAAAGTTGCCCCCACTTTTGGTTTGGAAAAGAAAATATTCACCGTCTTTTGAAAACAAAGTCAGGGCCACTTTTTGTGACACACCAACCCCGAGCTTAGGCTGATAGCGAGCTGCCCAAGAAGTGAATTGATGTGGCTATTCCATTTGTGATCCACGGTGAACGTAAATGCTTGGTTTGGGACAGCACGAGAGCCCACATATCGAAGGCTGTGAAAGCTAAGTGCTATTCGAAAAGTGTTCGATGTGTGTTGTGCCTGGTGGCCTCACGCCTTACTTGCAAGCTGGAGATATTGGATTCTATAACAGTTTCAAGGACCTACTGTACATAGAAATAAACGCTTAGAAAGAGACCAATAAAGTCCTCAACCGTATAAATACCTCTCTGTCACTTTCGAGTGGCACTAATAAAATATAGTCCGGACTCTAATAGGTCGCATCCGTCGACGGAGAAATCCGACAGACACAAAAATCCGACAAGAGATTGTGAGCACACCTCTTTCCCATAGTAACTATGTTTGTATTTTTACCCAATCATATCGTTATACAAGAAGTTTTTAATTCAATTACTTACAAAAAATAATGAACGGCTGGAGATAAAAGACTTCTTGGGCGTCGGTAATTATCAAGTCATTTTGCGCGATGAAGCGCGTTGAGCGAAGCTTCACAATGAAGCAAAAGCGCGAGGCCTTGACGATCGCTAAATGTGAGGGCGTTAAGGCCGCCTCCGAAAAATTTAATATTGCGCGAGGGACTATCTACGATTGGCGCAAGCAAGAGGACGCGATACGCAATTTCAAGGGACACCACTCGTCAAAGACGTTAAAAGGTCAGGGACGCAAGGAAAATTTTCCTGGCGTCTCTGACCTTTTAACATACATGAAGGATATGCGCAGACTTGAGCAAGTAAGTCAATGTGAATGTGCTATTTGTGCTATTGTGGTGTTGAGCTAGCTTTCTTACATTAACATGTAGGTTTTATCGACTGCCGGCATGATTCCGTTCATGTGGCAAATTCATCCTGAGTGGATGGCAATCTACATAAACGAAAAAGAAGCGGGCGAGCTTGCGCTAGAGCGCATGGTACAGCGCTTCGCTAATCGGTATAACACAATTTTGTGCAAATTTTAAAATTGTACTTATTTCTTATTTTAAATTTAAATTTTGCGCACGGGTTTTCGTCCCAAAAACCTTAAGCGGCTAAAAAATCATTTGAAGACCTCGAAGAGACCCGTGCAAGCTTTTTCCTTGAGTTTTGGTCCAAGTATAGTTCTTTCAGTGGCGGGGGCATTCTAAATGTCGATGAAACAGCCATACTGTTCGACATGCCGCCAATAAAGTCGTGGGCTGGCAAAGGGCGATAGGACTCCGCGCGAATTTTGGGTGCAGATAAGCACGCCGGTCGAATGACCGCAGTGCGAACCATTCGCGATGACGGTAAGTTATTTGTTCTTGCAGAAACATATTTTAAATTGTATTTTTGCTAGCATATTTTTAATTCGTTAGGATTGAAAATGCCTATTTTGTTTATCATCCGTGGCGTCCCTGGTGGCCGCATCGAGAAAAATGAAATGGAGCAGTACCCTAACCACCACTTCAACGCCATGCAGGAGAACGCATGGATGGACACCAGTGTGTGGAAATTTTACGTAGAAAAACTTTTAAAGCTTGAAATAGATGGCCCCCCTGTCCTTCTGGCTGACAACTTTGAATGTTACGTTTCCGAAGAAGGACAGCGGCTTGTGGTTGAAGAAGCCAATGCCACTTTGGTCCCACTAACCCTAAATAGCACTGCTGTGTGTCAGCCGCTAGATGTGGGGGTGATGGGACCATTAAAAGCAAAAATACGGAGCCGTTGTGGTAGACGCTAAGGAAAAGCGCATCCGTGCTATAAAGTCTACTATTGCTGCTTGGGAAAAGCTAGAAAAGAAAACGATAATTCGTAGCTTCGAAAAGGCCATCTCGAGGTATCCGGAAGTAACCGTCTGAATATAATCCTCTTTTTTTCATTGACATGTTTTTTTCTGTGCTGTTTTTGTTTTTTAGAGTGCGTTATTAACCTATCAAATGAAGCGTCGGATTTTTGTGTCGGGCTCTGTTTTTTTTCTTTTACTATGGCTGGATGGTATTCAGTGGTGTCGGATTTCTTCGTCGTTGTCTGTACTACAACTCTACATGTATTAATATCGACTGAAATTAAACTACGACACTCAGACGAAGTCCTTTACTACAAGACGCAGAAGTAGCATAAGACTGCCCCTGATTGCATTTCTCAAAGCCTAAAACGGTGGTAAAAACGCCTCTGATGCTGCGAAATCACGTTATACTTTTCTCTTACTTACGAGCGCCTTCTTGGCCTTTATGGGCAGCTTATTCCAGAAATCCTTGAAACGGACATATTCATGGTAGTCAGCGACGTACATTCGTTGGTTTTTGGGCATTTTCGTGAGCCTTGATGTTGTTCTTCGCGTAAATCGCACTTGGAGTCATTCCGTTCTCTGCTGGCGCCACAAAATGAGCTTCGACGTTGGCGATCAGCTGCGCCAGCGTATCTTCTACATTGACATTCTTCGGCGGCTGAGCTACCTTTTCCAGCTCCGCAGCACTTTTGCCAGGCAGTCCCGCCAGCCATTTTTCTGTCGCCGGACTCAAGTTTATATTCATGCGCTCCTCTTCGTCTGATGTCCCGCCGTGCTGATAGTCAGCACTATCTACAGCTCCGTCTCGAAGAAATCCACTTGTCTTGTTGATGTCTTGGGTGGCCTGGGCGGGCCTCGTGGCAGACGAAAAGTGATTGTCGGCTTGGACTGCACCAGAACTCGACGAAAAAGCAGCGGTGACCGCTAAGAGCAGAAACCTAAAAACTAGCATCGGGAACAGGATTTGGATAGGAACGCAGAATGAGTCAGGCAGTGTAAAGCAACACGGGCTCACCGGCAAAACACGCCCACCGTTTAGAAATAAGAAAAAAAAGAAATGAAAAATTTAAAGCGAAATCCGTACATTCAGCAAATGTTGTGTAAACCTTGTGTAAACATTTTTAGCAGCACTTTTGGCACCAAAACGGAGGGTCGTCATGTTGAAGCTGACTTGTTTTTTGTATTTAAAAGAAAAATAAGCCCACTGGACTTCAAACCGCCAATGTAATTGCCATCACAACGCATTTTGTGCCCAAGACCATCAAGTACCGCCCCAAGCTTCACTATGCAGACACCGTACTTGTACCACGTAGAGGACGAAGGTTTCTTCGTCCTCTCTAAAGTGATGGAGGTGACGTGCGACGAAGAGGCCTGCGCCCTCTGGTGCATGGACGTGGGTCTGATAGACAAGCAGAAGCGATGCCCAAGCTGCGGAAGCCTCATGAAGCCATCATTGGCCCGAAAGCGCTGGCGGTGCTCTCGCAGGACTAAGTATGCTGATGGAAAGAAACAATCCACTGGCATGCTGACCTGTTCATTCTTCAACGATGCCAAGCTAAAGCTACACCGAGCCGTCCGCCTCCTCTTGGCCTGAACCATGAGGCTCTCTCAGGCGCAGGCAATGGAAATGTCCGAGGCGAGCGAGCGCACAGTGCGCGATTCGAATGCATACTGCCGCGGAACGTGCTCGAAGGAGCTCCTGAAGACCGAGTTAAAGGTGAAGCTGCACAATTACTATGCTTAAGTTTCTCAAGTTGCTCTAAACTTGCTGGTATGTTGCGTGTAGATTGGAGGTGACGGTCACATAGTGGAGGTTGACGAGACTAGCCTGGCCAAGAAGCGTGAATACAATATAGGCCGCCACTACCAGGGATACTGACGTTTTTATGGTGTGGAGCGCGGGACTGGCCGATGGTTTGGACGGATCGTATACGTAAACAAACCAAGCGGACACTTCTCCCCATAATCAAGAAATTTATCAAGCCATAGTAAGTTTATTTACTCTTGGTAATCGGTGCCTCATTTTTTTTTATTTTTCCTAGTATTTTATTTTGTAGAACTAAGATTATGTCCGACATGTTCACTACGTACGTTTGTGAACGTGGCAACAAGCAACACACTGTCTCGAGAACAACCGTCTCCTGCTGTCTATGAACTACACGCATAGCTGGGTCAACCACAGCCTCAACTTTTTAGACCCGGTAACGGGAGCACATACTAATACTATTGAGGGGCTGTGTGAGACCCGTCTCAAGCGCAGCATTAAAAGCATGCGAGGCATGACCAAGGACAAGCTCGACTCCTACTTGGATGATCACATGTGGCGATCATGTTTTTTTTTCGCCAAAGGCTTCAATCGGTCAATACTTTGCTGGTCTGGTAGTTGCCATTATAAGAAATGAATATTTTTTTCATTTCTATTTTTCTTATTTCTAAACAGGTGGCGTGTTTTGCCGGTGAGCCGCAACACGTACTGTACATACGATCCCCTCAGTAGTCATTCATTTTTTTGCTTTACAGTAGCTGAGAGGAGGAACAGGAATAATTCGCCCTCTCTCACTCGGAATACAGAGCTAAGATTCACAAAATTACTACTTGTATTCTGAGGTAGCCATAATATTGTCTGAAAAGTATTTCTCACTAAGGTTTGTCGAAGCGATTTGGTCAGGGTAAGGCTTAGCACTTATACAAACATCTAAACGAAAGCGGCAACCCCGCTAAAATAAGGATATTTTCAAAGAAGAGCCATTTGTGACCAAAGTAGGCAGCATTTTACCGCTCTCTGATTATATTTGCCCGATAAATCGTGGAAGACAAAAAAAGTATTCTCACGGTTGGCAGATTAGCGCAAAAACAAAGGGTATGCCGGTAATTAGCCTAATTGCATTCAGGTATTTGTATCTACTTTTCGTGTATCCGCATTTACTTTTAGTTTGAAAAGAGGAGATACTGGTACAGCTTGGGGTATCAATTTGTCGTGCTATAAGTTATTGAACAGACCGGAAAACGTATTTATACTTGAAGGGCTCAAAGTACTAATAAATGAGCATTTATTTCATCAAAGATTAGTCCAAAAATGGGCCACGGGACAATTTGTCTTGATAAGCTTATCGTTTAGGTGTACGGTATATTTACCCAAAAAGGATACATCGGTCACTCTAAGTTGCTGTGTGACCTAAATAGTCGTGCACGGTTAATGCTCATCCCACAGGTTTTGGTAAATACTTGCATTTCTACGTCAAATCGTAAAACGACAGCAGATTTGATAGATTTTGATGATCTGATTTGCTCTATACCTTTTAATTTTGTAAAACATACAGACAACGACGGTGAAATCCGCTCGGTGTCAGCACAGTATCCTTCATATAGAAAAAGTATCACGCGCGAATGGAATACCCGACCGTAATTTGATTGGTAAGTGCAAAACCATTTCGAAATGGTCCAAAACCAATGCAAGAATCAACAGTTTCTGAGTTGACCCCTCCAACCCGGAGCGATTTTTGTTTTTTTCTAAATTGCATATGCAACTTACCATGACTTGATGTTTGTATATAAAGGGTAGAGTCACTGGCGGGAAACGGGGTAAAGTCAGTCGTGAATGGGTATGGACCAAACTAAACTGTTCAAAAGGTGCATATTGGGAGCTGAATTGACCTGGACAGTCTGCATAATGTAGCATTACAGGACCGGTAATAGACAGACGCTGTACAGATACGAGCCATCCACATCGGTCTTTGCATTTGGTAGAGTTTTAATTTTTAGAAATTTTGAGGTGAAAACTTCCCATACAAAGTGTCATAGTGTCCGATGGGGGGGGTCACCCACAGAAAGTAACGTCATCAGATGATGCGGTGCTGGCAGCTCGAGGTACGTATACTCAAATCAAGTGAGAAGATCAGCTGACAAAAGAGTTAGATGGATTAGGCACAGTGTCAGATGAGCAAGCAATACCTTGTGCGGGACGTTCGCGCAAGCAATCATCCTGATTTCTTAGACTGCATATATTCTGCTCAAAGTTTTTTACTTAAGCTACACCAAGCACAGCGATGCAGTTTACCAGCTAATTGTCCGTCCTACGTCGCATTCCTCTACTAGCCGGATCCAGTGGTGTGAGAGGCGTGACAGGAGCTCCAGGCGTTGACGGAGCTCCAGTCGACGTGTCTGCAGCTCGACGCACTCTGATATTTCTACCAGTGTCGACTGGAACCAACTTGCCGTTCATCCACTCTCGGTGCCAAATATCCCAGCATGTCATAGCTACTCCACGTATCTGTCGGCGCGGCTTCATACACAGGAACATTGGCCCCGTGCTGCTGAATTCTTGACAAAAAGAACGATGTTGTTGTCGCGCGTTTGTCTGCAACACGGAGAAGCGAGCAGACTTTGCACGCGCGCTGTCGGCGCTTCGGCTGCGTCGTCGTATTGCGCCACTCATCAAGCTGGCGGACAGCTTGAGTAGTTTGCATACCTCCAGATCCTGGAACGGAAGCGCCTTGTGAGGGTTCGTGTGTACCAAACGTGTTGCCTTCATACATGTCGGACGCGTGCAGCTGCGAGAGCTGCAAATGCAGCTTCTTCATGTACTTCACATGCGTTAATGGGCGAGACGACTTCTGCTTGTAGTAGGCTTTGTGGACTATGTAGCCATTCACGATTGCTACATCAATTAATCCCAACACCAGCGACTTGTAGTACTTTTTGGACCGCACGGCCAGCTGAATAGAATACCGCTGCAAACGTAACTGGTCGTGGACATCCACGCCCCCATGAAGGCGTGGTAGTCCTTCACGATGCGTGGGCAAGGAACTTCGACTTTATCAGCGAATTCTTGGCGAGCAACACGATCCATCTCTAGACTCCCGCCAGTGCACAGAAAGTGAACCGGACGCGCGTCCCACCAGCTAACAGCAGACATGTTTGGCGCTAACTTTGATCTTGAAACTTTGAAAGATCCGCGAGCAATAGTAGCAGGTCTAAACTTCTTTTTTTCAACGACTCCTTTGCAATAGCCCAGCCGGTTCGTCATAATAGTCCCAACACAGTAGAATCTCTTGAGCAGCAATTGAATTGCCAATGACACCGACGTATAGAACCGATCCACTACAACAAGTCTCATTCCATTCATCCGAGAATCTGGCCCAAACGCAGCGAGAAGATTGCGGACTACTGCAGCAGGCCCTGACTTCATATCTGTCTTGTGTGCATCACTGGAGTGCTGTTTTTTACCGCAGTAAACCTCGAACCTGCATAAATGCAGCATACACAAAGCAAAATATCCAGCTTTAGTCTGCATTATTCAGCATAAGGAAAACTTAGAACCAAAAACAAAACTGATGCAGTAGGCGGTCATCGCACTGCACAGCATAAAGAGCTTCGTTTCCCACTTGTGGGGTTTGTCTTTCATGTAGACACGCATCTTGTCGAGCGACGAGCGGCTAGGAGGCATCGCTTCATCAAAAGCCAAGTACGCTGGAGCCACATACCCTCGCTCAAATGTCCTTTGTAGAACTTCCACAACTTTGCGAATCTTCCATGCTCTATCTGTGACCGCCCTCGGATCAGAGTTTGGACTGAAATGTAGGTTTCGAGAAATCACCATAAATCTATCGCGACGCAGCACGGGTCCAAACGCTCCACGTGGAATACCGCCTTCATCAGTAGTTTTCCAATGGCTTGCAAGTTTTTCGCGGTTGGGGGCAATCGTGCGTGCAACTCGGAGGCCGATAAAGCGACAAAGCTCGTGAGGTTGTATCGGTTTTGCTCCTTCTAGCTCCGTCTGGATGCCTCGCTTGGTCCTCTTTGGTAGTTGAGGACTGAGCCGGCACTTGCTACGGTAGCGTTTGTACCGTTCATCAACACGAAGGGGTGCCATTTCACGCCCATACTCGTTTGAGCACACCGCAATGTGTTGCCACAGCATTACTGGTAGAAAGAAAAAGAAAAGCGCAAGCG